CATCTTGTTTCTCGCGAACTTTTAGGGAGGAGGGGCCAATTAGGGCCGCGTCAAATCGCAAATCCCTCACGCATGCAACATCTCCATTTGCACGCGGAAACGTCAGCCATGTTGAATAATGTGAAGCATTCTAGTGCACAAGGGTTGCTTGGTACGACCCCTCTGACGAAACGTTCACCTGTGCCGTAGTATCGTTTTTGAAGCGGGAAGTTCGAAAAAACACTTATTTCTCGCGCATATTTTGAAGATAAGAGTCCATTTCAGACTTTCAATGCGCACATCTTGATTAGTGAGTCACTTTTTCTTAGGAACAACTCTTCTTTCTGCTCTAGACGAAGTTTGCAACACGCCCTTCAGAAAAATGCCAGGGAGCGTTAGTGTAGATTTGATTGACATTTAATGGGGTCTTCTATGCTGGGTACCTGAGTTATGTGTCAGGAACAAGGATATTTCCGATGGGTTTTCAAGAGGTATCTGACCGGCGTGTCTCTGTTCTTAAGCATTTCTCAGGGGAACACACTTTAACCAGGAAGGGTGAGATGCGCTGGTCTCAGAATCGTTGCTTGATGCTTGCTTTTTGTAGATCAGCCAAAAAACAGTAATATCAGTCTGATTAGCAACTTTCTACGAGTTAGAAGATAGATTTTTTTTTTCCGTCTCATCCGAGATATCGAGCTTTGAAAAAATCGGTTTATGATAGACGTCACCCACCGCGGTATTAACACCCTTGGTCTCTTCCACCTTGCTTATCCGAGTTACACGTTGAGCCACCAGTGCAAATATGTGTTTTGTCCTAAAGATGAAAGCAAGGCGTAAGAGCTCAAAGGTGCCTACCGCGGTGGATGACGTCAAAACCTTGACTTTTCATAGGGCGATATCTCGGTCAATATTTAAAAGTTGGTGTTCGGACGGATCTTAAAATTCTTAGCTAATTTCCATGAATCAAGCATCAAAACACGATTCTGTTGCCGCAATCACATGCTGAATGTGGGAGCTAAATGTGACTTGAATGTGGAAGTTATCGGCCCGAAGCCTGAATTTTGTGCGTGTCGCGCCAAATTCAGCAACGATTCCCAGCGACCATCGGCTAATTTCGGATTTTTCCGAACTATTCGAATAGATTTGACACACATCTGGATGAAAATAACCCGAATTTGAGAAATTTCAGCTGTTGAGCGCTGACTTGGATTGCGTTAAACAGAAAGGAACCAAGCCACATCAGCTATTGTCAAATTTAAGAGAGCAATTTAATTTTTTACAAGAGAACGATTTTGCGGATTCTCTCGACATTTTTGAGGAATTTGCTTCGTACGACTCAAAAAATTCACTAAAATGTGCAGGAAAATCCGCACAACCGTTTTCAGGTAAAAAATTAAATTGCCCAATTCAATTTGGCAATAGCTGATGTGGCTTGGTTCCTTTCTGTTTAACGCGGTCCACTTTTGACTTCCATATTCAGTGTGTGATTCCTGCATGTGACCAGCGCAACTGACCCATTTCCGGGAAGGGCTGAAGATCCCACTTGGGCATCCACGCGCCAGTGGTCTGTTTCCAACCCGTGGACGTGCGCGGCCCGAAGAAGCGGCCAGCGGGCCGATTACTGAAATTTTGTGTTTGTCAGGCGGACATAGATGACATAGGTTAAAAGACGGAGCGTGATTGGTCGGCTATGTCTTATCGCTGCTTTGTCGTGCCTATGTCGGGTCGAACTCACGACAAGCTATCGGTACCTCTTAAGTTTCCGACAGTATGTCGTCCATTCCACCTGACAAAGGCACGACAAAGCAGCGATAAGACATAGCCAACCAATCACGCCTCGCCATTTAACTCATGTCATCTATGTCCGCCCGACAAACACTAAATTTCAATGATCGGACCGCTGGCCGGGCGAACGGGCGTCCGGTCCGGAGCGAGGGACCCCGGTGGTGGCGACTCGGTCGGCGTAGAGTCCCTTTATTCTGAGAGTCAAGACAATTTGAATCCATTTCTGATTGGTTCTCGTATTTTAGGCCTCCACAGTGTCACAAACGGGAATAAAGATTACATTTTCACCAATTGCAAAGATTATAATCTGGAATGGACCGGGGAATTACGGGTTCGGCAAGGAACAAACGGAATGAGAGGAGGAACGGAGAAAGGCATTTGAGAATGGGCCGATCAAAGATTACGAAAAACGTTCAATTTCTGTAATCTTTATTCCCGTTTGTGACATCCACGAGCCGAATTGTCTCGACTCTCAGTATAAAGGGACTCTAGGTCGGCGCCAGCTCGGGGACTGGCGCGCGCGTCTCGGGGACCACGTGGACGCCGCGAAGGAGCGCAGCGTGCAAGCGCCCGCCCCGCGCCGCGCCGTTTGTTTACACCCGTCAGCTGATCGGCCGGTGACGTCATCCCGGGGACGACCCCGCCCCCCGCCCCGCCCCGCCGCGCCGCGCGCCGAAACCACGTGGGCATCGCACCTCGCTCGGCTCGGCGGCAACCACTTCCGAGTTGCGGAGCATCCGCCAATTCTGCCCCCCGCCCCGCCGCCCCGCTCGGTTATCAGGAGACGGCGCGGCGCCGCCGCCCGCCGTCGCGTCTGGACCCGCCGGGTCTCGTTTCGGGGTGGGACCCGCTCCCGGTCCCGGCGGCGTCGCGGCCCGGTCAAGGTTCTCAAGGACGCTTCCGGAGCCGCGGTCGATGACCCGCTGGGGTTCCTGCCGTCTTGGAGTCCCTGGATATCCGGCGTGGATGATCGACCATCGATATCTCCCCATTTTCAGCTGCGGTAAAGAATCGATTAGATAGGTGTATGCAGGGTCGCCACAGGCAGGGAAAACCAGGCAATGTCGGAGAATTTTAAGAAGTCAGGAAAATGACGAAAATGGAGTAGTAGACGAAATTCGACGAACAAATATCAGGGTTGCCGCAGGCAGGGAAAACCAGGAAATGTCACAGAATTTTAAGAAGTCAGGAAAATGACGAAAATGTAGCAGTAGACAAATTTCGACGAGAAAATATCAGGGTTGCCGCAGGCAGGGAAATATCACATAATTTTAAGAAGTCAGGAAAATGACGAAAATGTAGTAGGTAGTAGACGAAATTCGAAGAAAAAATATCAGGGTTGCCACAGGCAGGGAATACCGGGAAATGTCAGATAATTTTAAGAAGTCAGGAGAATATCAGAGAATTTTAGGAAGTCAGGTAAATGACGAAAATATAGTATAGTAGACGAAATTCGACAAAAAAATATCCGGGTTGCCACAGTTAGGGAAAACAAGGCAATTTCAGGGAAAACGACGAAAGCTTCTGGGGAAAATTCTCAAGTCGCCTTTATGTGATTTCTAGTCTGGATTTGTCGTTTCGAATAACAAATTAAGCCTGAAAACTACTTATTATTATTAATTTTTAACCATTTCGCACATCTTCAATTGTCCGGGAATTTTACGAAAATAAGACAGGGGAATGTCAAGGCATCCCTTTTTCCAACTTCTAAATGCTGTGGCAACCCTGTCGTTGCCAGAACCCCGTTTGATGTCTATCAATGCACTACGTGCAGCAAGTTCGTCATTTTCTGTATGAATCCGCACACTGTCCAACTTCGGATACCATATTTACTTACCTTTAAGGCTGCCTGGAAAATTATGCAAGTAGCATGAAAAAGGTCTTTCAACGCAGGTCAAGAAAAGGTCCTTCAAAAATATTAAGATTTTTGTCGAATTTTCGGTTAGTAGAAGGTCCAAAAAATTATTTTGATTTTGCAGCAAGAGGTGGTGTTACCACCGCGGTGGAAGACGACATAAACCGAATTCTTCAGAGCGTGATGTCTCGGTTGATATTGAACGTAGCGAGTTGATGTTTGGACGGAACCTAATTTTTTAGTTGATCTACAAGTACATCGAAACACGGTTCTGAGACCATCGCAACTGACTCACTCTCTCTGATATTCTCTCGAATTCGAGATTGACTCTCCCCCAACTTAAAGCTCTTATCGTTTAAACACAACGACCCTTCCCCGCTCTCTCCACGACAGTGGCAACCTTGCTTTCACTAACAGCTCGACCAGGAGATTAGAACGGCTTATCTGAGGAAAGGCGTAAGTTCCACGACATCCCAATCGCGTTCGTTCCATCCCTCAAACGAGCTGTTCATTTTAGGAGTTTCATCTAACGGCTTATTCGAAGAATAGCCCAAGAGCTGCGGGATCCTCGTGGCATTTACGCTTTTTTCCCCTGGTAAACCGCTCATTTCACGAGTCAACATTTTACGACTTTCCGCGTCGGCGAAAACGGGAGGAGGGGGGCGCTTCGGTTCCGCGCGATAATAGGAGCTTCCCCGGAACGAACTTTTCATCCCTACGGCGAACTTTTACGCCGCCGCGGAGAAACTTTCGAGACTTGGCTTGGGAGATTAATATAATGGATAACTCGATTCGCTGGCGGAACGGGTTCTGAAATACTCGACCGAGCTCAGAATTTACGAGTCTGGTTTCGCGGGTAAGTCAGATCTTAAATCTTGGACAGTAGTCTGCGAATGCTGTAAAATAGAAACGTTATTTTCGCTTTGTTTAAACCTATGGAAATGTTTCGATTCTCGGAGGGGCCAGCAGGCTGAAGGCTGATTGTTGTAATAGACAAAGCAATATACGAAGTCATATACAGGGTGTCTAGCGACCAAGAAAATCTGGAAAACCGTAAATGTCAGAGACTTTTTTGTGTCAGGAAATCAGGGAAAACGGCAGAGAATCCGCAAAAATTCGGCATGTTAGGAAATTTTATTTTGCAAGCGATTTTCGTGCCAGGGAAACGTCAGAAAAATCGAAAAACGCGAATTTTTTTATCAAGGTGTTCGCCGCGAACACCCCGTTTATCGATACTTTTCCATAGGTTTAAATGGCCGATCAATCGATATATCGCAAAGCACGCCGCGCCAATGCTGAACTCTGTGTTTCTTCCTCTTATACTTGACGCTGTGCTAATTTGCAAGATTCAAAAATAACCATATTTCCTTTTTGTTTGCAGGTCAACAGCCGAAACGAGTGGGAAGATCTCCTGGTGAATTTCAACGTTCCGAAAAACTGTGTGAATAGCTCAGTGGCACTGAAACAAATCTATCTAAGGTAAGATTCTCGAAACACTAATGTACCATCAGACCTTACTTTGTGTAGTTGAAAGTTGCCGTCTTTTCCCCTTGAAAAAATTTCAACGGCTTGCCTCTTTCAATCGCGACCAAAATGTCAATGACGTATATTTCCCATTCATTCTTATGGCCCGAGCATACAACGAGGATACCCCATCTTTTCCACCTGCACATAGTTGTGTTTGATAGAAATACGTCCACCTGTGAAAGTATAGATAATAAAAATACTTTCAGTCGAGTAGAAGCTAAAATTGAGGGTGAAAGAGCGAGGCGTTTTTTTTCTTTCCTAAACCTTACGAAAAAAATTATTCGATTAATTGGAAAATCCCTGAATCCGCAGAAATACTGAAGAATCCCTTCGGCCTTTTCCACGTTGCCCCCATCGCAAGTTCCACTTTGCGGTGGAAGCAGTAACACGACGTTACAACTCGCACAATCCGTCTCGTGGCGCTAGATCGGTGCACGGGACGCCCTGACGCAATCACGAGCACCGAGCCATAACTCGCGTCCATGTCGACGCCGACTTCACCGTTGCCGCGTCGACGGGCCGAGCTCCACTTCTCTCGTCGGGGAACGCGAAACGAGGCGCACTATCCGGCAGCGTCCTCTATGAGGGAGAAAGTTCACTAATAGTAAGCTTGCGGACAACCGCGCCGCTACGCTCGTTCCTAGTCGCTCTGTTACCGCTCTCTTGCGGTATGGCGTAAGTCCAAGAGCTCCAGCCGGCTGTGAATTGAAATTGATAGACACAGGTATAGACAGGTTAATTGCCACACTCAGGGAAATGTCAGGGAATTTAAAAAGTCAGGGAAAACCGTAAAATGTCAGGGAAAATTACGAAAATGTCAGGAATAATTTGTTAAAGCACCTTCATTTCGACGGTGAAACTTCCAAACCACGTATCTCGGTTTGCGACGTCGCAGACTTCCTGCCATATTTTATTTTTTAAATGAAAAACTACTCAACGTCCAGTCTTAAAAATTTCTGTGATTTTTCCTCTTCGTGCGGAGAAAATTCTGTGAAAATTTCAAGGAATGATATTGATTTGGTCTACTTCAAAAAAAGTAAAATGTGATCGTAAATTTTTAAACACCGCAAACGAGATACGTAGTTTGGTAGTTTCACCGTCGATTTGCTTTCTAGAATGGGTTTGAAGTTTCGAACAAGAAATTTTGCCTGAAAACTATTTTCAATTATGCCTTCTTAACCACCCGTCACATCGTTTGGGGGAAACTTTGGAGTGTAGTAGTTATCACTGTCTCTGTTATCATCAGATAATTTGCACCTTCACGTAACTGTTCCTCGCCATTTTCTTCACGTATTTTTGTCACTGTCGAGAGTTAGCTAGAGTTTACACCTCGTAGAATGGAGGATATTATGTGAAGTCATATCTCATTATGTACTTGATCCGGCGGTACATGCGACACTGCTATTCCTTGTGAAAGAACGTTGTATGAGCCATTAAACGTTACCAAATTTCCTTCGATGAACTATGAATTTTCCGGAAAACAACGCATATCAACACCTCAATTTTTCAGGGAATTTGACTTGGAATCAGATCTAAATTATCTGAAAATTTCAAGAGGTAATTTTCGTACCTCTCCTCGAAAATAAAAGTAATTCTTGCAGGAAATTATAAAACAGGGTGTTTACAAGTCCGGAAATAGTAGTGATTTTTTAAGGGCGGTCCGGAAGCACTGAGAAAGTGCGGAAATTCTGCAAGAAGGTCCGGAATCCTTGTCGCGATTTAAGCGAGAAATTCAAGTGTTTGAAATTTTTCGTATTTCGTCAAATGGAGACACTGAAAAAGTACTGAATTTCACTGTCGAGAAGTTACTGAATTTCTTGGGAATGTATACCGAAATAGTACTGTAAAAGCACTGATTTTTAGCCAGACTGTTTTAGTAGACACCCTGTGAAAGAATAACATAAAAAATGAAAAAAAAATAATACTCGACTCGTTTTCGTGGAACAGGGTATATAGCATCAGGAAAACCCGGAAAATATCTGGAATTTTGGCCGATCAGGAATATATCAGGGAAATCGGAAAAATTAGACGTTTTATCAGGAATTTATCTTACGCGAATTTCCTCAGCGGAGAAGTCTAACTGCTGTTTGCCTACCGTGCCAGGAGTCTTCGAAAAATCAGGAAAATATCAGGAATTTTCAAAATGAAAAAATTAGGAATTTCTTATAAAATATCAGGAAAAATCAGGAAAATGTCGGGATTTTTCAAAACTAAAAAATACTAGACACCCTGTCAACTTGGGTCCAATCGATATCTCGCAGGACGTTGACGTCACGTCTGGGACCGTCCACGCGAGAGAGAGACCGAATCCCGACTGCGAGGAAGTTGCAGTTGCACATGGGCGGCCCATTCATCCGTGCCCCTATACCGCCACCGCGCCCTCCCTCGCGTAGGTCACGTAACGCTGGATCCTGAGGGGGGGGGGGGTTGCTTTACTCAAGGTCACCCACATCTGACGTCACTCGAGGAGACGCCGCGAAGCGACGAGCCTCCCACCGCGCCCGCTGCGAATAGCCCATCATTCCCCGCGATTTTTCCGCGGGAACCCGTCTTCTGGTATCTGGAGGAACGGCGTATGGGCCTTCAGACATTGCCAAGTTTCCTCCGACAAAGTTTCCCGTTCGGGAAAATTTGTGAATATTATTCCTCTAGTTTCTTAGAGAATTTCTTACGGAGTAAGTGTTCGAAAATGTTAAGGATAATGGACCACTAGACAAGGTACGAGTTAAAGGATCCTGATACATGTTTCTTAACTAGAATCTCACGTAGAACACGAATTGCGCAATGAAAATTACTGAAAGCAACTCCTAACGAAGATATTAACTTTTTATTTCACACTAGTTACGGGGAATTTGAACTGCGCGCTCACAAGAAACTCAAAGCTCTACGTGAGTCAAATCGCGCACTACAACCGTTTCAGCAAACTTCTCAATCGAGCAATGTTCATTTCCCACCATGAGTTTTTCAAATTATAAGTAATTTGCTATAGCTGAGCCGAAGCGTCAAGATTGAGGTTGCCAGATATTTTTTTTACTGCAGAGACGTTCATGATAACGTTTAGCGCGCGATGTGAATCACGTAGAGCATTGAGTTTTCACGAGCGGGTGGTTTCAATTCACGCACCAAGAATCATTAAATATTTTCGGAAGGAGTTGATTTCGGTAATTTTCGTTGTGCGCATCGTGTTTTACGTGAAATTTTGGTAAAGAAACATGTAACAGAATGCTGAAATTCGTACCTTGTCTAGTGGTCCATTACTCCAACTTTTCCTGAAGAATAATTATTTTCCGAGTGGAAAGGCAACATTCGAATGTCCATGCTGCGCTTTTCTTTAGCACGGCAGTTTTCCGTTGGGGGTGAAATTCATTGCAGAAACATTGAAATTAATTTTGCAGGCTGGAACTTACGATCACTTTCAACTATAAGAGACTTAACGCCTCCCTCCCTCCCCCCCCCCCCCCAANCCCCCCCCCCTAAAGGAAAAAGAAAATTGCGGAAAGCAGTTCCATGGGCAATCATGCGAAAGAAGCATTAAATAGTTACGGAAAAGTTAGAGAAATTTGAAAGCTAAGACATTTATAATCGATAGTCGATTATTACGCCTTGCCAATGGTTCGAAAGGAGCTAAGTTCTGTCGAGAAACTGATGACGATTGGTACAGGCATGCAGGCCGAAGCATCCTGATGTAAACCGTGATGAAATTTGATCAAAACTGGTCGAGATTTTTTGACATTCCGATGAACAGCGCCGCTGCTTGCATTGTTCTCCTCGTCCGATGATCCCCGGAGAATCGGGAATTGCATCGCCCACAGTGACGTCACATCTACCGAACGACGCTCCAATAATCGACCGGTTTACTGGCTATACGCGATTCGACACATCGCGATAAAATGATCGAAATCCAGTCGGCCCGTTCGAATATTGATTTGTTTTGCCGCGCTTCGAAAGCGCGATATAATGATTACAGCCGATCAGAGGATTGGATTTTTTGAGATCGCAGGGTTGCCACAGTCAGGGAAAACCGGGAAATATCAGGAAATTTTATAAAGTCCGGGAAAATGACGGAAATGCCGGGGGAATATTGTCGAGTTTCAACCTTTATTTGCTCTCCAGACTAGGTTTCACGTTTTAAACAACAAATTTTGATTGAAAACTATTTGAAAATTATGTCTATTCAACCATATAGTATAATTTCAATTTTAAGGAAATATCAAAACCTGACAGGGAAATCAGGGAAATGTCAGGGAATTTTATTTTTTAAATTCTTTGGCAACCCTGGAACGAGATTACATTTTCCTTTACAATTGAATCAACTAATAGATGGATCCTGAGTACCCACAATAGGGAGAGAGAGAGAGAGAGAGAGCGGACATTTCGAAACATGAAGCTTTTACGGCCCAAATTTGAATTCATAGTTAGGCTTCCCTTTTTTAGGCCCTAAGAGCTCCACTACCGAACCTCAAAATTACCGACACGTCCGCACTCGCCCTACTTAGGCACTCCATATCGATCTATCGAGTGACGTAGTCACTATATCAGTCTATCAACTGCCAGTTCGAATCTGATCACAACGTGTGATTTTTTACGAGCCTGTTCGTCCGCGAAGCCGAGAAACTGCGCCGCGCTGTCGTATGTCGTGTCACAGGAGAGAGTCGTAAGTGCACTTCCACATGAGCCACGATTAGCACTAGCTCTTGTGATCCTCGAGGCTCATCTTAGACTTCAGCCACGGCTTCTCCTCCGCAACAGGGCATCGCAGGTGCGGATGGCAATTTTATAATGGCCTTCGTTCGCGGCTCGTCCGAACCNGGGGGGGGGGGGGGTATGCGGCATCACTGGTCCATTAAACGTTGATTAAAACCACGGCTCTCTCGTTTTTCCTCGCTCGTTATGCTGCCGTGCTCGGGAAAAGCGCCGTATGAACCTCCAGGCGTTGCCAAATTACCTTCGGT